GGAAATGCTCAAGTTATAGAAGTACACCCCTACGCAATAGGATAACTTAGAGACATTCCTCCACCTTTTCAATAAACTGGAATTTTGGCATCATCCAATGAGATCCGTTGGGCCATAGATTCAGGAGAGACAAAAGGAAGACCTTCTTCATGACACCTAATTAAATTGAGGAATGCACTGTTACATGATGTGGTGGTAGCCACTGGTTTAAGATTGCTTTAAAAGGTGAGTTTGGCAAATTCATGGAGGGCGAGTCTCCCAGTGGTTACTAGATAGGAGAGCTTTACCCAGCCTCCAGGCAGAATCCAACCACATACCATTTCATGGGGAGCAACCAAGGATATTGGCTATTGTCTTCACATTGTGCCTTGATACTGTACTACAATTGTCATGGCTAATGGACGGGGATGATGGGAGTTGTAGTCCAGCAACATCTGGAGAGCATCACACTATTTCTGTCCTAGAGGATCTGATTGGTCACTATACCAAAAAGTATGCGGTCTTTAGACTGACCCAGCAGAGTTCTTCTTATGTTCCTTTGTTCCCCTCAGTGTGCTTTGTGTTTGGGAGGAGGTTCTAGGTCTATCAAGGGTCCTTTCTCCAACCCTCTACCCTGCACCTGCCCTTTCAATGTAGGTTTGTGAGAACACTCTCACCAGAATCATGAGTGGCTGCAGTGCTGATAAAGAACCTGAAATCCTATGGGAACCACAGTGGTGAAGAAGAAGAAGAAGAAGAAGAAGAAGAAGAAGAAGAAGAAGACCATTTTCTTGCTTGAAAATTACATTTCCAAAAGCGAACACTGGATTTTGGTGAAAAAAGCCTGATTGCTCTTTGAAAGACTGTAAGAAAGAGAATTAAACCGAAATCTGTACATCCAACGCATCACCAATAAATTTTAGCACTTATATTTCACATTTCAAATACTGAAAGCACGGCACACATTATCAGCAACAACCCTGCAGAGTAACTCAGCATTATTATTTCCATTTTGTAGATGAGAGGTGACAGCAGAGTGATGCTGGCTTACCTAAGGCCACCTACTGAGTTCCCACTTGAGGCGAGATTTGATCTGGGGGCCTTCAAGCTTACATCTCGTACTCTTTGCCATGCACATGGGAGAAAGTATATGTGTGCTCCCTAGATTTTCAAATGCCATATGGAGGTATCATTGAGAAATTGCTCCCTGTTGACCTAAACATTGGGAAGAACTTCCTGACAGTAAGAGCTGTTCGACAGTGGAATTTGCTGCCAAGGAGTGTGGTGGAGTCTCCTTCTTTGGAGGTCTTTAAGCAGAGGCTTGACAACCATATGTCAGGAGTGCTCTGATGGTGTTTCCTGCTTGGCAGGGGGTTGGACTCGATGGCCCTTGTGGTCTCTTCCAACTCTATGATTCTATGATTCTATGATTCTATGATTCTATGACAAGGGGCAAGGAACCTCTGTCCTGGGGTTTGAATGCAGCCCTGAAAGCCTCTCAGATTGGTCCTCAAAACTTTCCCCAGGACCTGCCCCTCTTCTCCAGACTGACACCCCTTACGGGCCCTGCTCCATGACCTTCACAAATAGTGTTGCCTGGATAGAATGTGTCCTTGATCTGTGATCATGCTTCTTGCTTACCTGAATGGAGGTGTGTGTGTGTCTGTAAACCTCAGACTTTTGCACAGCTGGAATGCCACCAACTATACAAAGGTAAGAGTCACACATTCTACCTCTGGCCCTGATCAACACACTCACATGGTCTCCAGAAGGTAATGTGGCACTCAGGCTGAAAAAAGTTCTTCACCTCCGCCATTGGTGATAATATCACAATGGGGGGCAGAAAAGGTGTTAAACAATTCTTAAGTTCAAATTCTTCTGATGAACTTTGTTGCAGACACAAGGCTATGTGAGTGTCAGTATATGCAAGAACTTTGTGTGTGTGTTTTAAATTTATTTTTTTATAACAGCCAGTAAAGAGAGCAGGGCCTATGTCTGTCCAAATTTCCTTCCCAGTGGTATAACGTATTGCCAGTCATGGGCCATTTCTTCTTTTTTTGCACAAGGCCATTAATCTAATTTGTCAGGATTAATCCTATGAAAGTGTTGCATCCCACATTGTCTCACTTATCCCTCTTGTTTATCACATTGTGGGCATTTTCAAAAGTATTGTATTGTATCACCTTGACTAATATGACCTAATCTTCAAGGTGGTTGGTCAGCTCATGGCTGAATGAGTCTGGCTTGCTCTAAGCATTCAAGGAAAAAGCCCGTCTCAGTCCATTCAGCTGCTCGATAACCACGCAGGACCAGGCTAGGCTAATAAGTTTCTATACCCAAATCCAGGGCCTGGAAGAAATGTCCACCAGTCTTGGGTCAATGAGGCCAGTGGCTTGTCATGATTTATGGGGATACCAACCATCAAGGAGAGGTGATGGCCCTAGTAAGAGGAGGCCATTAGTTCTTGATTCCCACGTCCATGAGAGAAGAGAAGCTTCGAGTGAAGTGAGAGCAAGGTGGAAAGTTCAGAACCATGGACAGAGCTCCAGCCCCTAAGCCATCTCAGCAAACTCCTGGGGCAACAAATTGAATTTCACAGCAGAGCTATATAGACATGGATTACAAGTCCTACCTCCTTGAGTGCTGTTTCCTAGTCAGTTTAAGGCCTGGTGCTTTCTTATGTAGCCACTGGCTTTTTTGAGCTATCGGGCAGAGATTTGGTTTTGGGGTGCAATTGCACACAAATTGCGCAGTTGGGAAAAAAGTATTAGTCTGGCCCTGTTGTTTTGGCTTGCAAAGTTATACTGTGTTTTCTCCAGGATTCCCAGTACAATTTGACAAAAGAAGCTATCTGTTTATATCATTTACGGAATGGGAGGGAAAAGCCACGTATCAGGGGCACATATCTGTTCTTCAAGTACACCTCAAGCTTAACTTTAAGTGGAATTTGTTTGCAGATGGCGGGTATGTGGAACACTCTCCCCCATCCCCAATAAAGATTTCTGACAATATCAAAACTCTTTTCTTCCCTAAATCGTTAAAATGTTTTTACTTTAAATATCTGCTTATTCATTTGACAGGAATAATATATTTCTTTAAACATTTGCTTATTCATTTGACAGGAATAATGTATTGCTTAATCATCAAAACCTCTAAGCTGCTTATGTAAAGCAATATAAAATATACGTTAAAAATGATAAATAAAATCAAATGCTAAATAAACAAGTTGACTTGTTTTTTTCCCAGAAAGCTAAGTAAAATCAGTAGCTATTTTTTAAAAAAATTCAAAGCATAATAAAATTAATCATGTGTTAAAAGAAACATCAAAATTGCATGTCTTGCCTAAGAATATTTTTTTTTTAACACAGGTGTCAAAAACAATGCCCCTGGCATTTTGTCCAACTAGGAACTCAAGAAACTAGGAACAATATTTTCTGCTCTTTTTTCTGCTGTTGAAGGAATCTGAGGGGGATCCTGATAACAGCAGTGCAAATGCCTTTAGAATGATGAGTGCCAGTTGGAATTCCTGTTACTCTGACCCTCAGGATGGATTTCGGTTTTCAGCAAACTCTCTTAGAAAACAAAGGTACCTTCCGATGGCAGTGGAGGTGAGAGGGAGTTGTGAGCCTTTGTGTCACTGTTGTACCAATGGCCCAGCAGCCCGAGACCTCCCCTTAATTTGAAAGCAATGCCTTTGACACTGACATTGACTTGGGATGCAGCTGACAACTGGGAAAACAGCATTGGTCAAGTAAACAGCCAGGCTTAACAAAACTGCTCAGCCTGAACGAGTGGACATAATTAGCAGGGAACAGAGCTAATGGGATTTTGAGCCCAGAGTGTTTCAGAAGAGAGGCAGCTCAGACGTTTCTGGACTTGTCTCCAAATGTTGTGTATGGGAAGAGTTAAGCAAAGAGGGGAAAATAATGTGCTAGAAGACTAACATGGCCATTGTTGGTGTTAGCCTGGCTTCATTTTATGAAGCAAGGGCTCTGAAGAGCGTGTGGCAGAGGCAGGGGACCAGGAGAGTGACCTAGAAGAGAAGACCAGTGATTTATGTGTGTCACACCATTTGCAAGGCAGGAGCCAGAAGAAAAGGGAATGTCAGGACAGTCTGAGGTGGAGGAAGGTATTCAGGAAGTGGCAGAGGAAGAAGGGACAGTTCAGGCAACAGATAGGTCAGCAGACCCCCTCCCCCCAACTTCCCTCACCCCACTATCTCCTAGAACCAGGAGGGGCTTGAAAAGGGAAGAGCAGGGATGACTTCCATGCAGAAGTCTCAGGTTGTGGGCACGCAATCCATCACAGGAGGGTACGTAAGCCAGAGGAAGGAAGGGGCACCGCTTCTGCTGCAATGGGTCGATAGAGCCCAGATATGTGCAGAGATGCCTGGAAGCATGTAAGTTTTTTTTATCTTTAGTACTATGGAAGCTGCTGTGAGTGTTTCTCTTACCAATAAAGAATTAACTATCAGACGTGTGTCTTCCTTACTTGGGATGTGCTAATCACAGCTACAAAAGGAACTTCAAGTTTTAACCAGCTCGCTATGAAAAAAGAGGGCTTTTGAGTGTCCTAAATGTAGTCTGATATAATGCTTAATTGGGAACTGAGCAAGTTGGAGAACTAATAAGCTAAACATCTTTGATGACAGGAAATTAATGTTGGGACACAGCAAAAATCTGTTTTATTTGGTATTTTATGTGTTATATGACAATTTAATTAAACACCAAGGTAACCCAGGCAAATAATTCCCTTGTGAAATAAACCAAGAATGACCAACTTCCTTTAGTTGGAAGGGGTCAGGGGAGGCAAGCGCTTTGCCAATTTACATTTTATGATGCCATCATCTGAGGTTTCACCATGAAATTAATGAGATAAATCCAATCATCTGTAGCTACGCTTCCTTAATGCAAATGTGGGGTGACACAGAAAGCTGCCTTATAAGGAGTCAAACCATTGGCCCATCTACCTCAGTATAAGGTCTACACTCACTGGCAGGGTTTCAGACAAGGACTCTTTCCCAGACCCACCTGGAGTTGCTGGGGATTGAAACTAGAATCTTCTGCATGCAAAGCAAATGCTGTACCACTGAACTATGGGCCCCCCTGAAGTGTAGGTGGGTTCCTACGAAGCAAGACAGAGTGATAACAGCAAGGACCTTTATTGAGCTCACAGATCTGGACAACAGGGGCAAAGCAACTGCTTATATGCACTTCTGAAGACCTGGGCTACTCCCACTCTCAACATGATTGGCTGTTTAAACTCCAAAGCTGTGAATCAGAACTCAGAGTTTAAGGGCCAATGGCAGTGGCCCAAATCCCGAAATGTTATGTGATTGGATATCATGTATTGAATCAGAACACAGGGGCTCAGAATCCTTAGTCCACACTCAAGCTCAGGTAAACACAGACCATTGAATACATAACACTCCCCATATGAAAGAGTTGGTTAGTTCTTGGTGAGGGTGCACAGGGGTGCTGCTCAGAGAAGCAGATGTTTATTCTTGCCAAAGCAGCTGGTGGAAAGTGGCTTCCTGGCCTCAGTGTCGCCCTGGTCGGGCTATGTCTGCTGCTTAGCAGCAGGAGGAGTGAGGGAAAGTAATAGGACATGATGAGCTTGGGCAAAGGTAGCGAATTGGATCTGTCTGGTGGGCTGGACCCTTACCACCAACGTCCATTGGCCAACTTTGCCAGGTAGCTTCAAATGAGTTCACTCGCATTCCCAATGTCTGCATAAAATCCATGTTTTGACCTGCCCCACACCTGTATCTGGGCTTAGATGTAAAACTTGTCTTGGATGATGCTGCACCCTTGAAATAATGGGTTTGCATCTTGGGAGTGGTCCTGAATCCAACCCAACTCCTGGATGGTCAAGTGGTGAGTACCTTAGCCCGGTCCATGGCAATGCACCAGGAGTGTCCTTTCCTGGAAAAGTCAGACTGGGCTACACATGCTCTCTGGTAATATCCAGTAGAAGTTATTGAAATATGTTCTATATGAGACTGCCCTTGAAGAGTGTCCAGAGACTTCAGAAGATTCAAATCACAACTGCTAGGCTTTAGAGCAGCCTTTCTCAACTTTAGGTCCCCAGATGTTCTTGAACTACAACTCCCATCATCCCTGGCCACTGACCACGCTGGCTAGGAATGATGGGAGTTGCATAGTCCAGCCACATCTGGGGACCTAAAGCTGAGAAAGGCTGTTTTAGAGCTAACCTCTGGTTGCTGCTGAACTCAAGCTCCCACCAGCCCCAGCCAACATGGCCAAGGTTCAAGGATGTTGGAAGCAGCATCTGAAAGGGCATAAGTTCCTCATCCCTGCTCTGGAATCTGGAAAGCTAGAGTACTAGTTGGATCAATCAAGCATATTACTCTGATACTGTCCCTGAAAAAAAAGAGAGCCATTTTAATAGAAGGTCTGACATCCCAGCTTTGACCTGATGGGTTTAATGTGTTATAATCATCATGACCTGCATAAAAGGACTAGGATGTTCTCACTCTTAGACACCGCAACTTCTGAGGCTGCAGCTGACATTATAGCAATTACCCTGTCCTTGTTTGGGGTCTCATTGTCTCTGATGAGACACTGCATGACTGGATCCCACCACAGTACAGGAGAAATGGAACTCTGGGTGAGAGAATGCCTCATTCCGTTTCTTGCTGATCTTTCCAAATGCATCCAAATTAAATGTCATCCTATTAAAAGTGATCCGTCCGAAAAGAAATATTACTCCCTCCTATCCCCTCTTTCTTTCCAAGCCATAGAGCACCCAGGGAAAAAAAAAGGGCGGAAAGGTGAAAGGGAGACAACAGTCACATTCTTCTTGGAATGATTCAGCTTTAAGTTCTAAATGAGTCACCATCACGGAATCCATAAAGTTTATAATTAAAAGTATGCAGGTGCATGAATATGGACTCAGCTTTCTCGCTTGTGCTTTAGAGATCTATAAAAGCCTCAGACATTGCCAGAGTTGAACTGAATTAACCATAAATAATTCAGATACCCAGAGAATCCCGACATCTGCTGTTTTTGTAGAGATCGTACACCCATCACTATTAGCTCCACTTTCCTTTGACTCATAGTTATTCTGCAACCGACAGGAGGGTGGGGAGACACTTTAAACAGGCATAGAGTCCTCACTATGTTAATTCCGAACTGCTCTGAGCCATGATGAAACATTATTCCGGGGTCATGGACTGATGTTCTGCAAGCCGAAGAGTCGAAACCCTTGACAAGAGAAAATAAATTACTTCTCAGTTCTGGGTATCTGTTGCCTTTTCCCTCTTCACAATACTATCCCATTTAAATTCTCGATTGCTTTTTAGAAATCCATGCCCTCAAAGCATATGTAAACACATGCACTCCATTCCTGGAGTAACACTCTTTTTTAAAAATTAAAAAAAATGGTTCTCTTTATTGTCTTCTGTTGTTAATGTGCTGTTGAGAACATGATGGGCCATAGATTGGTGGTAGAGAAAATCCCAGGTTCAGTCCCTGACATATCTTGCTAGAAAGGTAAAAAAGGTAAAGGACCCCTGGACGGTTAAGTCCAGTCAAAGGCGACTATGGAGTTGCAGCACTCATCTCGCTTTCAGGCCGAGGCAGACGGCGTTTGTCCACAGACAGCTCTTCCGGGTCATGTGACCAGCAGGACTAAACCGCTTCTGCCACAACGAAACACCGTGATGGAAGCCGGACTGCACGTAAACGGCGTTTACCTTCCTGCCACAGTGGTACCTATTTATCTACTTGCACTGGCATTCTTTCGAACTGCTAGGTTGGCAGGAGCTGGGACAGGGCAACAGGAGCTCACTACATCACGGGGATTCGAACTGCCAACCTTCCGATCAGCAAGCCAAAGAGGCTCAGTGGTTTAGGCCACAGCACCACCCATGTCCCGTTCATCTAGAACGATCAGCTAGAAACACCAAGAAGGGAGAGTGCTCTTGTGCTTGGGTCCTGTATGCAGGCTTCCTACAGGAGGACCACTGTGAGAACAGGATGCTGGCCCAGATGAGTCCCTGGCCTGATCCAGCAGTCTCTTCTTACATTCCCTCACATTATATATCAGTCAAGCACCTTCTCTATTGCCTCTTCAGCTCCTGTTAAAGACTTTCCTCTTTGAACGAGACTTCTAAGTGGATTTTTTAAATATCCCAGTGGGTATCTGCAGTGGATTTGATTTTATATATATATATGTCATAGTTTTAACTCTTTTTACATATCCAATTGTTTTATTTATGCCTTTTCTTGAATTATGCAATCGCTTCGTAGGAATGTCGATTCATAAATGAACTAATAACGATCGTGGTGCCGAAATGAGGGTGGATTCCACTTTTTCGCTCATTTTCCCAGAATAATTTGACATCCAGTCTCCACCAAATTATTTTGTCCTCTGTCTGGCATTGCTGATACATATTGATAGATTAGCTTGTTTACAAAGGCAGTGGCTCAGCAGATTCCAAAAATTGTCGCAATGTGGCAGTTGACAGTGACTCACCCGAAGTACAAAGGATGGTGGGGTGAAGCAGCTCATCATATGCCAACTTTCCACCTCTCCTGTCCATCCTAAAAACGTGTATTTGTGTGTTTTGCTTTTTGGATCAGTCAGGGGAAAAACCTGTAGCTTCCCACCTACTGACACACCTTATTGTTTGCAGTGCACAGACATTAGCTAACAGGAGAAGCAACAGTTTTCATTGCACATCTTTTAAATAGTTGGGAAAGTGGGGAAATAAACATCTTGGATTGACACTGATACATAGGTATATGAGACACTTGCAAAGCATAGCGTTTCAGAAGCCATTTTTGATAAATGATATTTCCTTTTCAACAACTGGCCTGCAAAAGCAAAGCAGTGTCATTTCTAAGTGAATCCAAATTGATCAACACTATTAAGAAGTCATTTCAGCTCCCTGCAACGTTTTGTCTGATTCTAAAATTGAGCACTTAAAATGTATGGCTTGTCCAAAGGCATAATGAAAACATTACAACCCCCCCCCCCCACTTTTCTTCCTTCAGCAATAACGAGCTATAAATAAAGCTTCAAAACCTCTCACGCTGGGAAAGGAATACAGAAGCAAAAGTGGTGGGAGAGTATCATATCTGAAGTTGGAGCAAAACTAGATCAGCATGTGAGATGTCTTTGTCGGAGAGCCTCAAAATGTGTGGGTGAAAGACAATGCTGTTCGTTAATGATTTTGTTTATACTGCCCTTCTGTCAAAGAAATTGGAGCAGGCGTGTAGCTCACAGATGTAGAATGTCCCAAGCTGGAGATCTCTGGTATCTCCAGTTAAGGATCATGGAGGGCAGGCATAGTCCTACCATTACACCAGGTGTGGAGAACCTTGGTCCTCCAGTTGTTATTGAATGACAGCTCCCATCACACCCAGCAGCAAGCATGGTCAATGCCTGAGGATGGTGGGAGTTGTATTTCAACAAAACCGGGAGGGCTCAACATTCTCCAGCACCGTATTAGGTGGAATGTTGAGGTGCATAGAGCTAACAGAACAGTGTGTGCAACGTTATCTGCCTTAGGCACATAGGTATTGAAGAACATCCTTTATCCCAAATCAGGCCATTGGTCCATCTACCTCAGTATTGCCTGCAATGTCTCCAGGATTTCAGATAAGGGACATTCTCACCTCTACCTGGATATGCCAGAGATTAAACATGTGGCCTTCTGCATGCAAGGCAGATGTGTCACTGCTGGAGGATACTGTCCCATATCCAAGGGTGAAGTAAGCTTCAAGTGTCAGTTTTGATGGCTTTGGGGCATGGATTGGGAAGAGGTGACATCTTGTCCTTTGCCTAAGGCAGAAAATGCCTTAGACCAGCCCTATCAGGGTGGTGAATGCTTGGAGCAGGGATGGGTGCCTCAGGGCACTATGCCAAAATAGGAAATATCAAAGCACAGAGGCAAAATGGGGCCACAAACGCCAGCCCCTTCTCATACCGAGTGGAGAAAATCTAAAAAAAGTTGTCTACCCACCTTTACTCGACTGCAGTCTAGAGTGCTGTTTAGTCAGAGTTCCATAGAGCCTATGGAAGGTTCTACTCATGCTTCAGAAGATGTGGGTGGCAAGGGTAGAGAAGCTTTTTTCATTCTCATGAGGGCCCTTTTCCCTTGTGCGTAATCTTTGGAGGGCCATATGCTGGGGACAGACATGGCTGAAGCCTGTGGTAGATTGGTACAAAGCCCAAAGTGAGTGAGGCACCCTTCTCTCTCTCTCTCTCTCTCTCTCTCTCTCTCTCTCTCTCTCTCTCTCTCCTGCCCTCTTTTCCTTCTCTCTCATTCTGCCACCCCATCTCTCTCATGTCTTTTCTGTCCCTCCCTCTTTGCCACCCTCTCACTAACCCCCTCTCTGCCATCCCTTCTCTTTCTCTCTGACATCCATTTCTCTTTCCCTTTCTGTTTCCTCTTTTTTTTTCATGCCACCTGGAAAATAACAACAACAACAACCACAATAATAATAATAGGCCAAGTCTCCCCACCCCTGTGGGGCCAGCCCAGGATGTTTTGCTGCCTTTACCACCACTTCCTCAGAAACTGCCCTCCACTGCTGTCACCACCCACTGTCGCCACCACTACCACCTGATGTGACTGGAGATATCCCAGGGAAGCCCTGGAGAACTGGGGGGGGGGGAGAAGCTGGAGAGGAGCAGAGGGGGTGCAGAGGAGGAGGAGGTGGTGGCAGCAGGCAACAAGCACCAAAAGTGTCAAGCAACACATTCCTTGGGGGTGGGCAGATTTGCTACCCCTCCCAGTTGTCCGCAGCTGCCTGCCTGTGATGACTGCCTCACCGAGCTCCATGGGTGGGCCAACTCTGGAGCACCTGTACCTCTGTGCAAGATAGGCCTCAGTGGGTTGTGGTTTACATGGGTGTGGCAACAATGACCATGTTCCCTAGGACCTGGGAAGTTCTCATGCAGCTGCGGTCTGCCCAGTTCATCTGCCTGCACAGTTGTATGAAGAACAAAGCCTGCCTCTCCAAGTCACAAGAATCAACAGCCACCTTTATTTAAGACTGTGCTCTTCCTATGCATAGAAGAAGAGGAGTTTGGATTTGATATCCTGCTTTATCACTACCCAAAGGAGTCTCAAAGCGGCTAACAATCTCCTTTCCCTTCCTCCCCCACAACAAACACTCTGTGAGGTGAGTGGGGCTGAGAGACTTCAGAGAAGTGTGACTAGCCCAAGGTCACCCAGCAGCTGCATGTGGAGGAGCGGGGAAGCGAACCCGGTTGCCCAGATTACGAGTCCACTGCTCTTAACCACTACACCACAGTGGCAAGCCCCATTTAACTTACTGAAACGTGTTCCCATGCGAGCATGCATTGGCTTTAGCTACACGTGTCTCCTGCAAATACAGCCTGGGTGGTATTCAGTCAAGATATACTCAGTGTAGACCTATTGAAAGTAATGGACGTGATTAAGTAAGGTCCATTAATTTCAGTGAGTCTACTCTGAGTAAAACTTCGTTGAATACCACCACTTAGTTGAATAGGCACCAGTAAAAAAAAACAAAAAACACCTTACTCCACTTATCATAGACCATATGTAACTACAATTAGATTCTGCCTATAAATTCCAAAGCACGAGTCTTTATCAAGAAGGGACTTTTGGCACTTGGTCACCTTCCTGCCCCCCAAGGAAAAAAGAAAAAGAAATTTGGCACTTAATTTAGTGGTGAGGGAGAAAGTGTCACTGGTGCTCAGATGAATAACCTCCCTGGGTTGTTTAAATAGCACCCTTTTCTTTTCAATATTAATTGTGGTGGAGACCAGGAATAGTAAATACCATTCTTCCTTCTATAAATCAGCTTGACACATTATGGCTTAGACAAAATCTATCCATCAGTGGTCATCAGGAATTTAATTAATGCAATAGAAAGGCAAAGAGAAAGGGAAGGAATCTGGAAAGATTTTGCACAGATGTCTGAAGAGCCTTGTTAGCTGCTAAAATGGGAGCATATTTCTGCTGTCAAAATACTTTCCTAAGCCATCTTTCTGACAAGCTTATTGCTTATTCTTATTTCCAAATTACAAAAGAGGACTTTGCAGTCAGGAGGGAGTTGCGGGGAAGGAGCTGCTGGGATTCTGTGTTAGCAATACTGAGCTAGACCAATGCTCTGAGCAGCCTCCCATAACAGCCCCCCCATAACAGCCCATAACACCCCATACACCCTATACCCTCCAAATATAAATGAATGACACACACGCACACTTTGTCCATGGATAAAAATCCATGGACAAAGACAACAGGCATATGCTGGAAAAGACGCTGATGTTGGGAAAGATTGAGGGCACAGGGAGAAGGGGACAACAGAGGATGAGATGGTTGGACAGTGTTCTCGAAGCTACCAGCATGAGTTTGACCAAACTGCGGGAGGCAGTGGAAGACAGGAGGGCCTGGAGTGCTCTGTCCATGGGGTCACAAAGAGTCAGACACGACTAAACGACTAAACAACAACAACAACACACACACACACACACACACACACAGAGAAAGAGAGAGAGAGAGAGAGAGAGAGAGAGAGAGGCATAACCCTGATGTTAGACTTACAATCTAAAAAATGAAGAACAGAAGGGAATTGGAAGGTCAAAGAGAAAGAACAGTTTGACAATTCCAGAACGGAAAAGTGAGCTCTTAATCGGTACTGGAAGTATTACAAGCCAGACTGATCTTCCTGTTGTGGGTGTTCTGGCTAGGATATGGGCAGATGATGTGCTAGGAGATGAAAGGAGGAGGACAGCACCAGGACAGCGCAGACATGTTCTCAGGCGATGTGGATGGAGGGACAAAAATGGAAGGTGCTTTTTGACATTCGCGAGAAAGGACACAAGACATTGTCGTTGTCAACAGCTTCCGTGGCATCTGGTAGGTGTTGCTGACGAAGCAGCTCCACCAATGCATGCTACCTGAGATCCCTTTAGTTCCATGTTGTTGACCCTCCAAGGGATATCCTCTCTGAGATTGATCTTGAGGGTGACGTCCCTTCCCCTACCACGCATTTGGCTTTAGATTTCATCATAGACCTTTGGGACAACTGTCCTCCATTCTTGGTGCATGGGGAGCCTGCTGCATAATTAATGTCAACGGGACAAGGGAAAAAGGATGTGTCATTCTCCTAAGAGAGAAGATGCTGTAATAGATACAGAGTCCGCAGTTCAAGGGCTGTCCTAGTTCTTTCAGTCGGTGCATGGAACACCTACTCATGTCAAAAGGAGTTGCGCGCAGGGATGTGGAGCAGTGCATTGCCCTCGGATACTATTAGGAAGATTGAGATTATGCACAGATTGTCTGAGAGACAAAGTCCAAGCTAAACTTCAAGCCAAGCATAGCCTAGCTTTAAAGGCGAGGCAAGAAAAAAGGAAATCACAGGAAGACAAGAAGTATTAGTATTCACTGGGGAATGCGATGAAGCAGGGAGAGAAATATCCTTATTTCCGAACCATAGATTTATCTTTTTATTAGAAAGTTACATTAGAAAGATAGGCAGCATGAGGGAGATGATTCTGTGGGTTGTCATTTTCCATGGGAAGGGCTGTAGCTCAGATGTAGGGCACATGCTTCAGATGCAAATGAACCCGGGTTCAATCCCAGGTATCTCTAGGTTGGGCTGGGAAATCCTTGTGTTTGAAATCCTGGAAAGCCAATGCCAAGCAGCTAGGCTGGTGCAACTGATTTCCTGTGCTCCTAAATCCTATGGAGGTCACATTCTTTGGATTGTGATTTGAACTCGTTCATCTTATATTTCTTATATCAATCATGTGCATTTATCTATGTAGACAACTTACCGTATTTTTTGTTCTATAGGACACACTTTTTCCCCTCCAAAAATTAAGTGGAAATGTGTGTGCGTCCTATGGAGCGATTGCAGGCTCCTTGGCTTCAGCAATAGCAACGCGAAGCCTCCGAAGCGCAAAGGGAGCGCTACCTCCACGCTCCGGAGGCTTCACGTTGCTTTCGCTGAAGCCTGGAGAGCGAGAGGGGTCGGTGCACACTGACCCCTCTTGCTCTCCAGGCTTCAGGGATAGCCACCTGAAGCCTCCGGAGCGCAGCGGGACCTCACGCTGCGCTCCAAAGGCTTCGGGTTCCTTTTGCTGAAGCCGGGAGAGCAAGACTCTCCTGGCTTCAGCAGAGAGGGAGAGCTGCGCAGCGCCCCTTCAGTGAAGTGGGAGAAATGGAGTGGACTCCATTTCTCCTGCCGCTTTGCTGAAGGGGCGCTGAGCAGAGAGGGGGAGAATTTTTTCCCTTGTTCTCCCCCTCTGAAACAAGGTGCGTCCTATGGTCGGGTGTGTCCTATAGAGTGAAAAATACGGTACATGCTGTCCAACAACAAAGGTTTGCTAACAGTGCCCGGAAAAGGGACTCAGGGTCTGGGTCAGTGTATTTAAAAGGAACTGACCCTTCCAGTAACCTCATTCTCTGGCCTCATTCTCAAAAGTAGGTGAGATGATAAGCCTGGGTCTGGAATGTACCACTCCAGATTGCAAGTCGGGGAACCACATTGCCCTGTGACTGAACTGTGATGCCCTCCAGATATTGTTGGACTCCAAGACCCATAAATCCCAATGGCCAACACTCAAAGACAATGGTTCAACAACACCTGGAGGGCCACATCTGGTGTAGCTGAATGCTTCTCCAAACAGACACACAGACACACACACAGACACACAGACACACAGACACACAGACACACCACTATATTGTTCAAAAAGGCAAGATCCATTGCCAATTCATGCAGTAAGCATTCAATCTCTCATGAGTGTGGGGGTAACGTTTTCTTCAGATTCTGAAAATACTGATAACAAACAGTTACCATATAAACTACTTGCCCAAGAAGTAGTCCATGCATATACAGTCAAACATTAAGCAGCTTTGTACAACAGTTTAGAGTTGATAATATCAGTTAGCTGTCTCCTACTTTCCATCTTGGGACGCAGGTGGCGCTGTGGGCTAAACCACAGAGCCTAGGACTTGCCGATCAGAAGGTCAGCGGTTTGAATCCCCGCGATGGGGTGAGCTCCAGTTGCTCGGTCCCTGCTCCTGCCAACCTAGCAGTTCAAAAGCATGTCAGAGTGCAAGTAGGTACTGCTCCGGCGGGAAGGTAAACAGCGTTTCCATGCACTTCTCCGGTTCACCAGAAGCAGCTTAGTCATGCTGGCCACATGACCCGGAAGCTGTACACTGGCTCCCTCGGCCAATAAAGCAAGATGAGTACCGCAACCCCAGAGTCGGCCACAACTGGACCTAATGGTCAGGGATCCCTTTACCTTTACTCTCCATCTTAACAGATTGTCCTAGGGTGAGTCACGGGTAGCTGCTGGCCAAAAAAGGCTACTAATCACGATGGCTATGTTCCACCTCCACAGTTAGAGTCAGTAGTGCTTCTGACTATCAGTGGTTGGAAACCACAGGAGGGGAGAGTGCTCTTCCGCTTGAATCCTGCTTGTGGGTTTCTGACAGGCATCTGGTTGGCCATTGTGAGAACAGGATGCTGGACTAGGTGGGCCATTGGCCTGATCCAGTAGGATCCTCTTATGTTCTTATGGTGAGGGGACAACACTGTCCTTTTCAGTGTATTAAACAAACATGTACCATAGAGTTTCAAAATTGTCTTTGATATTTGTTTAATATGGTGCTCTAAGATGTTTCGTTGGTTTCTCCCTAAGCCCAGTGCTCTATGGTCTATTCCCACCATGCCTTTGGAGTTATGTTAGTAGCTACTTTCCAAGAGCATGTAACTGTATTAGTAGGTCCTAAAACAGTAAATTCTTGTGGTCATCTATTATCAAAGCTAGCCTTGGAGCAGGTCATATCACCTGTCCCATAACAGAAGGAACATCGTCAAGTGCCATTTTCTAAAATAATTGTATGGGCTTGCATATCCACCACTTATGGAAATATAAATCTAACTGTTGACATCCTCTACAACATAAAGGGTTTGCAAAAGCCAGTGTGGTGTAGTGGTTAAGAGAGGTGGACTCTTAATCTGGTGAACTGGGTTCGCTTCTCCACTCCTCCGCATGCAGCTGCTGGGTGACCTTGGGCTAGTCTCTCAGCCTCACTCACCTCATTGAGTGTTTGTTGTGGGGGAGGAAGGGAAAGGAGAATGTTAGCCGCTTTGAGACTCCTTAGGGTAGTGATAAAGCGGGATATCAAATCCAAACTCCTCCTCCTCCTCCTCCTCCTCCTCCTCCTCCTCTTCTTCTTCTTCTGGCACATCACACCAGCCCCATTTTATTCAAGAGCAGCAGCTCCCGTGTTCTCAGAAACTAGTTTCACATGGCTCAACAAGTAGTACAAAACCCATTCCATCACCAACCAGTTTGGTGTGCATTTGTCACAATATGCTTTTGAAAGGCTTCTCCGGAGGCGGCTGTTAAGTAAATATTTTTCTTAAGTGTTGGAGAGATATTATGTACATAATTGTCAATTAGATCAAAATCTATCATATAGCTGGTGATATAAAACAAATAGTTCATCTCATGGATCAATACACATTGACTTTTCAGCGCCAAACACTCTCAATCTACAAAGTTTGGGATGCTGTTTTTATTTGCTGGTGTATGTTAAGCATTAATGCTTTATTGTCAGCTTTTCCGCAACCCAGACATGGAATATTTTAGCTTCTTCTGCTTTTGGAATGTGATTGTGGTTGCTTCTGCATGTCGCTCTGCATGAGAGCTAGTGTGGTTAAGAGCTGTAGTCTCGGAATCTGGTGAACTGGGTTCGTGTCTCTGCTCCTCCACATGCAGCTGCTGGGTGACCTTGGGCCAGTCACACTTCTCTGCAGTCTCTCAGCCTCACTCACCTCACAGAGTGTTTGTTGTGGGTGAGGAAGGGAAAGGAGAATGTTAGCCGCTTTGAGACTCCTTAGGGTAGTGATAAAGCAGGATATCAAATCCAAACTCCTCTTCCTCCTCCTCCTCCTCCTCCTCCTCCTCCTCCTCCTCCTCCTCCTCCTCTTCTTCTTCTTCTTCTTCTTCTTCTTCTTCTTCTTCTTCTTCTTCTTCTTCTTCATGGCGTTTTAGACATCTACTTCCCATAAAACTAAACCACAGTAACAGACTCTCCAAGTGTCCCTTTTTTCCAGGCACAGTCCCAGATTTACAGAAGCTGTCCTGGTTTCTGATTTGATCCCAGAATGCCATGCTTTTCCTTAGGATGTCCCTATTTTCACTGGAGTAATGTTGGAGGGCATGGTAGGACATTGCTATTTCCATCGGAGAAATGTTGGAGGGTATGGAGTTATCCAACCCCCAAACCATCTGAAGGCAGCCCTGTGTAGGGAAGTTTTAAAATGTTTAATGTTCGTTATGTTTTTATATATGTTGGAAGCTGCCCAGAATGGTTGGGGCAACCCAGTCTGATGGGCAGGGTATACATAGTAGAGTAGTAGTAGTAGTAGTAGTAGTAGTAGTAATGGAATAGGATGTCCCTATTTTCACAGGAGAAATGTTGGAGGGTATGCTGTAACCAGTGGGCAGCCTGTGTCCCCCACCCAATGTTGTAGGACTACAGTTCCCATAATCCTTGACCATGGGCTACATTGGCTAAGGTTGACGAAATTCCCATAATCTCTATTGGCCCTGTTGGCTGAGGCTGATGGGAGTGCAGTATTTTCTGGAACTGCTTCACTCTGCCTAATGGTAGGGTGAGACCTTCAGAAACAAGTGCAGAGGAGGATGCTTCTCTTGTCTTAATGTTAGGACCTATTTTACCAGTTCGGGACGTGAGTGGCATTGTGGTCTAAACCACAGAGCCTAGGGCTTGCAGATCAGAAGGTTGGCGGTTCAAATCCCTGTGACAGGGTGAGTTCCCATTGCTCGGTCCCTGCTCCTGCCCACCTAGCAGTTCGAAAGCATGTCAAAGTGCAAGTAGGTACCTCTCCGGCAGGAAGGTAAACGGCATTTCCATGCACTGCTCTGGCTCACCAGAAGTGGCTTAATCATGCTGGCCACATGACCCAGAAGCTGTCTGCAGACAAACGTCGGCTCCCTCGGCCTATAGAGGGAGGTGAGTGCACAACCCTAGAGTGGTTCATGCCTGGACCTAACAGTCAGGGGTACCTTTACCTTACTTTACCAGTTCCACTTAAAACAACAAAATCATGTATTTAACCCCAGAACCCAGGAAGTAACTTGGGTGAGGATTATTTCAGAAGGATCCTTGCTCTTGAACCTGTTTTGAAACCACAACAAACTAGGGCCTACATATTTCCGGAGAGCTTGAAACCGAGGGCTCATTTCTTACATCTGGCGACGTGTGGAACTTTACTGTCCCTTCAGTTAATTAGTGAATTTCTGTCCACCCTGGTCAATATTTATAGCCACTGTCAATAAATCACAGGAATTAATTTGACTCAATGGGACAACTTGTGAAATCAGATTATGCTCAGCGGCAGCAGTTCAGTCCCAAGATAATTAGCTGTCTTTGCACCTTCCAGCTCTGGGGACACTGGAAATGAAGACATCGTCTTTAAAAGGTATTATTATTGCTAAGCAACATACCAGGAATCTCAAGTCTCCAAACTTTTCCCCCTCCTGTTGTCTTCATCAAGCTGGTGTACCCTTACACCTAGAGATTTAAGTCTCTTCATCTCTAAT